CAGCTCACACGAGTTACTGCTGAATATTTAACACATCACACTTCTTTTACACCCCGACATTTTGCTAACGCACTTGGAAGATTGATACAAAGAGAATAAATGGGGCGGTGTATTTGTCCTTGAAACTTTCCACAAATCCTTGTATTCTTTCACCCCTGCCCTAGAACATTGTGTTAGCATAACGGGACCAAAAAATGCAGAGCTCGGTTCACACTAGTGCGAAAATAGTGTTACAACTCGCCATGTGAAACTAAAGTGAATTACTATTAAAAAAACACATAAGCCTCAAAAAGGACCTAGTTAAGCCGCAAACCGGTTTATCTGGCCCTGGATAATCGGGAGTTGAGTGTACTTCGATTTCCCCTGCGAATCTTCGTTCCACCAACTGCTCTACAATCACCATCATCTAGGATTGGTACAATAAGCTACAACTAGCCAAAGTACCAAATGGCCTCTCACTCCAATAAAAATAATAATAAAAGAATCCTGTCCACACCCTGCCCCCTTGGCCCCATTTCTCCCAACATCCATCTAAATATTCTATTTGTATCCCCAACAGATCCTTCAATTTATCCTACAAAAATACCCTTTGTATTCCTATCTTGTCACTGACATGCCCTTGGTTCTTTACTATTGTTATCTTCAAGTAATTAAATTTCAATCGAGAATTGTGTGGGAAATTGTTTTCTAACACACATTTGTGTTTGTGTGTAGGTAAGAATGAAGAGGCATTGCTTTATAATTGACTTGCAAAGTTCAGGTTATCCACCTCAGTGTGAAACTCTGAGAAGCAGAATCAATATCAGGATCGAAAGTGGGTAGAACTATTTATGTAATTTCTTTACTTATTTCATTTTCATTACATTGCTATTCACTTTTGTTGTTACAGGTGTATTCCTTTCGTTACTTTTGCCACATAATCCTACCTGTACTGAACTAGTGAACATTAACACAAGATTTTCAATGGTAAGTGCATTTCTTTAAGATATATTATTAATCTTTGCCATATAAACCTTTCCATTACTGAACTGGAATATGAATAGATACCAGATTGTCAGTATTCATTACTTTTTTGTAAGATATGTTTTTTTTTATTTATTGCTAGTGGGGTGGGGTGGGACTAAGTCCCTTGTACAATGGCAACTTCTGGCCTTTTGTACCAGCCCCAGATGATGGGTGAGGGTGATTGTGGAGCAATTGGTGAAATGAAGATTGGCAGGGGAAACCGAAGTACTCAGAGAAAACCTGCTCCAGCACCACTTTGTCCACCACAAATCCCACTTGACCAGACCAGACTTTTCTTGGAATAATTCTCTTTCTTGAATGAACCTTGTAGAAGAAGCCATAGGAGTTATTCATAAAATTCTTTTGATCGCCCTTTAATGCACAAGTGCCTCTTTTGTTATGTTGGATGCAAGAATTCCACAACAAGAGGAGGTAAACTGAGCTACTTCTTTCATCCTAATTGCCAGTTATTGCATATACTAATATATATATATATATATATATATATATATATATATACATACGCCACCTTCTGGGGATTCCCACAGTACACTGAAAACTGTGAAACATGCTGCAAGAATCCCTTGAAGATGGCATATATAGGCGAAAAATTGTTGAAAATATAGTTTATGGTGAACAGTAAAGGTTTGTCATGTATTTATTTTATTTGACAGAGGATGATGAAAACTAATAGTAGCCTTTTGGGTTTGCTTTGCAGGGAGGACAGTGAGAGGCACTGGAGTTGACGCACTGGAGAGGACGTGTGCAGTGGCGTGCAGTCTTATTTCCTATGAGATAGTGTGCAAAGGTATCTTGAAATTTTGCCAACAACTCTTCTGAAGCAGCATGCTGCATTCCTTTTCTGTGAACCCTTCCATCTCACTCCACTCTTTCCTCAAAATAACAACACACTTTTTTTCCATTTTCTTCTCCTTTATTTTTTTCTCTTGCAAAGTACATTCTACCTTCCTTCAATTCAATGGTCTTAGTAACATGCATTCTTAGATGGTGTATACAATGTACAATGATTGTGAAAATAAAGAGAGAAATTGAAATGAGTGATGACAATACTGAAGTTGGGTGTAATGTGAGTTGATGAAGAGGAGGGGGGGGGTGTATGACTGATTATATCATGCTGGGAAGAACTAAAGTCCCTCTTGCGCACTATCTCTTAGAAAATAAAATTCTGTGGGACCCCAGACATATCCTCTCCAGCATGGAGACCTCTATAAGTCTCCTTGTGTTCTCCCAAACCTGTGAACAAACAAGACAAAATCAGAATTGTTACATTTTGCGCAGAAACTTAACTGCCCCCACATCTTAAGTTACATGTACTCCATACAATGAGATTCTAGTGAGCACAAGTAACTTAGAGGGTGGTGGTAGTAATTTGCTCTGCCAAGAATCACAAATTAAAATTCTCCTGCAAACTGCATCATGTTGATGCCACTCCTGCTGTTGGTTTCAAAATCTGGTTTGATAACGTGCCTCTTACACAAGACTCACCTTCGCTACAGGGCCACCTTGTGACTGATGTGCAATGGCTGTGTCAGGAGAAGGAATCTTGGCTGCTCCTTCTTTGGTAAGTCCAGCTTCTCACAGGTGACATGCTAGAGGTATGTTAGAAATTGCTGGAAGCTCCTTGCTTGCTTCACACCAGACAGCATCCTTCACCATGGAGAATGGGCTTTTTTCAGTAGTGTCACCCTATACCAGAAACTAAGAATAAAGAATATGTAAACAACACTCAGTTTGAGGACTTCTACCAGACTGCAAGGCGTTACATTCCAGAATATAGTACTCTTCATATCCCAGAAGACAGGACCCATAAAAATATATTTTGTATGTCTCCTGCAATAAAATCCAAAGTATTAGCAAGGAGACCACATTATGGTCTGCCAGCCTAAGTGCAAGCATAATTTAAAGACAATGGTATGGTCAGCTGGGCTCTTAAAGGCTAACACACATTAACGTAACCTAGTGCTTTTAGTTACTCATATTTGATTTTAAAATGTTATCTGTGTTGTTTGTTGACTGTTTCTGTGTTGCTTTCTTGTTGTCCACGCCGTCCATGCTTCCTATATCCAATACCTGATATTCAAATGTTCTCTTTCTTACTGATGAGACACTGGTGATGAAATCGTGGATGTATGTCATTAATGACAGAGGAAATACCGTATTTACGCATGTATAGGCCGTGTGCGTGTATAGGCCGCAGCACAATTTTCAGACAGAAATTATAGAAAAAACAATTTTCTTGGAATATTATTTCAGGAGTAGAAATTATTACTATTACTGTATTACTAATTATGAATATAATTTTTTTTAAATGAAGCGTGAGTTCGAATATAAGCCGCACCCCAGTTTTCCTCTTGAATTTTTGGCAAAAAATGTGCGGCCTATACATGCGTAAATACGGTATTGTTAAAATGCCTTTTCAAAACAACCTTGGACTATTTATCATATCAGTCACATGATACTGTAACAGATTTGATCTAAGCAATGTCAGGCAACAGCTCAGTAAACACTTCCCAACATGTAAAAATGCAGGGGAAACTGTGTTTTCTATGTGGTCTGCGCCACACAACGACAGGAACTGGGTTTTCTGGGACTAGTTGCTAGGTAATGCAACGGTTCTTACAATAGCAGAGGTATTTTCTCTGTGGTCAATGCCATGGTTATATAACGAAGTTCCAAAATAGGTTACGACAGATCATTATGTTAAACATTAATGTTAAAAATTATTAACATATTACATATACACAGTAAGACATATGAAGCACAGGACTCAAATATATGGATGTTATGATGAGACAAAAAATAAATAATGTTCTAAAAAACACAAGTGTGCATTCTGTATTTGAAAAAGATAACAATATCACAGTGGTTTCAATGTTAAGTAAACAAAGTTCTTGTCAGTGGAGACGGTATAATTCACTGGAGATGTCTTTTGTGCAGAAGCAGGTCTTCATTAATTTGTTAATAACTGTGCTAAAGTAATGAATCAAGCTGTTACAAAATGATACTTCTCGAACATAAGAGGAATGAATTATTTTATTGGAACCCCACTTCCTTCTGACCAGGAATGAGAGTCACTCTGTGTTTGTTTTGATGCATGAAGTTTCCTTAGCACAACATTAAGATCAATTTGATTTCAGACTTTCAGCAGCTTTATTATCACTTTCTTTGGTTGTTACCAGTGACATAAGTTCCCCATTCCCATACTCAAAACTGCCACTCACTTAGTTCCTTTCCAAGAAATTCCTTATTTCCATCACTGTGTGTGTGTGTGTGAGTTTTTTTTTTGTTGGCTCCTGTTTCACAAGTTTCAGCTGGCATGGAGTGACTTAGTTGATAATTTATGTTCTGCCATCCTCCTATATATATGCATACAACTCATTTTGTATTATCTACCCACTGTTTTCTATTGCTTCAATGTTTCTCTATTTCTTTTCATACCTCATTCTACCTGTTCACAACTTCCTTAGTCTGTGACCAGACAAGTGCCAGGCCAGAGCTGAAGTCGTGAACTTAAAAGAATGGGAGAGTGATATGTGGTTCCCAGTCAAGGCTAGGCACACCTCAAGGGATAGTGACAGATGAATATGGAGCAATGACAATTAGCGGAAAAAACTGAAGAAGCTTGGAGTAAAGCTTGCTCCAGTACCACTCTGTCCACCATAAATGAAACAAGAAGTTATCTGGGATTGAATATGGGCCTCTGCAGTGAGAAGCCAAGATGTAATTGCTTGAACTATGACACAGTGATCATATGCAAACATCTAAGTCAGAAAGTTCAGTAAGTGAACTTTTCAAACAAACATGAGCTTTACTGCTATTGCAACTGTAAGCACAGACAACACTGATGCCATTCTGAATGACATCTTTAAGTTTTACTCAATGTGTGTTCTGAATACACTGCTAACAAGGCTTTATTATTTCTTGATGCTCTTCGAGGCAGAAATGGTAAAACATTGATGTGGAGTGGGCCCTTGCTCATATAAGACAACATATTTATTACAGATCCCCATATATCCTCAGAAAAAGCACAAATGTTGCACGAAGCGTTGTTCCTGCATTTTCTCAGTTGTCTACTCTTGATAAATTCTCTTGCTAATTCTTCATGGTAATGTTCTAGAACCACAAATGCTCCAGAATCTGAAAAATTAAGGAATGAAAAATTAAGGCATGTATGTTAGTGTTAACAATTAATTATTCATTTGCTTTAATTTTTCATAAAATTTCAACAATTATCTGGCAAAAGAAGCATGGTCTTACCGAGTTTTGTTGGTAAATTGAGTTTCAAATGCATCTGTTCTAAGTGTTCAAATTTTGTGGTACCATCATATACAGGGATGTCGTCAAAAGATACCAGTGTTTCTCCCAGATATCTGCTTTCTCTTAAGAAAGTCTTTTCCTTAACCACAAACATCACCATTGCATTTTCAACTTTCTGATGCACTGACTTCAGTTGTCTATGGAAGAAGAAAAATTAGTTCAGTATAGGGACAGTTTGATAGAATATCATCATTATTTGTCACAGATTCAGTAATCAACCATAAACATATATACCTAAAGTTCTACCAGTCTGGACATTATGCTTTCTCCTAACAAGACTGGTAATGGACATCATGTTATCTCATGAATATTAATCTATATTAGTAGCATGTAGTCCTCCATGTTGGGGGTTAGACAACAGGCTAATAACCTCATCCCGTAAAAATAATTTTGTTCAGAAACCTAACAACCAGCCTCAGGTCATCATGCTTGGGTCCATTCCTATGGCAGCACACACTGGTTGTGGAGACTGGTTGAAGAGGAGGCCAAGGCTCACTAATCAGTAAATGAATATATCAAGTGTAACCCAAGAACTGCACTGTAATCATAAACTTTTTCTGCCTCCAACATCAGTGAATGGATAATGTGCCCTTATCATGAAAGCTGAGATCTCTTCAACAAACTTTAGGCAGGTGAATCTAGTCCACTTCCTAAAGCACATTTCTTTAAGATCTATTGTACTGTTAGTCTTCTGTCTCTGTCTAGGTCTTTACTTCAAGTTTTTCAGCCAAAATACTGTATACATTTCTCATCTCTACTACGTGTTCTGCATGCTCTGCCCGCCTCCTCCTCCTCATCATATCACCCATGTAGTTATTCATTCTGCTTAGATTAATTTGACTGACCCTCTAAAAGATGGAATAAACAGCCTGCAGGACAATAATTATATGTGCAACATAAAATAAGAGAAAGACCTACAACTTAATTCTAAAGTATTTTCCACCCAAGGGAGAGCATATTCATCCTGAATGAAGTTCAGTGTTCTCAATTGTAGATCTGGAATTCGTGTTCCTACATTTTAAGATCTTTGACATCACTCTTCCATGCACAGCTTATTACAAAAGAATATATATAATTTTCTTACATCACAAAAGTTTCTTCAAAGAGTGGAAATATTGTATTCCTCTGAGTCTTCGTTTTTCGCTGTCCAAGTCCCAGAAATTTTCTTTCTGGTAGGAGATAAATTTTAACATATGGGTAACAACAACCTGGAAGTAACAAACATAAATGAATAAAATATGCTCAATATGCAGTTATCCCAGTTATCCCACTATTCAGCAATTCTGTATGACTAATAAATAGAGATAGGACCCATCTATTAAAATATGGGAAATGTGCAGTACATATTCCATCCACTTCATTCTCCTTGCTTTTATGACTCTTGTAATACTTAATGAAGCACTCAAATTATGAAGCTCTTTGTTAGGCAGTTTTCTCCGTGCTCCTGATATTTACAGAGTGGATAATTTTCAGTCCAGTGTGACATACAAGTTTACAATACTTCAGTCTCCTGATATTTCTTTTTCTCATAGGTCTAAGCATTCTCCTCAGCAGCCTAGTGTCAAACATTTGCCATCTGTGGCCTTCCCTTACAGTGAGAGACCAAGTTTTACATTTATACCAGACAACAGGTAAAATTAGAATTATATACTTCAATGTTTACATTTTTAAATATGAGACATATAAATTTACTGATATAATTGGCAACAAGCATACCCAAAAATGACTGTAATTGTCTGTTTATGCATGTGCTGGTGGTTTTTTTATATAATTTATTTAAGTATTTATGTATTCTTTGATTATGTTAGGTGTGATTGTTATTAAATCTATATATTCTCTTTGACTTTATCCGATTGTATATTTTACAGTTATGGATGTAAATAAAATTATGAATTATGAATCTTACTAGAATGCAATTTTAATTTGTTACTACATAGTATTTTAAATTAGCCATGATATTTGCATTGATTTAGGGTTCCTTGGATGCCCAGTGTTATAAGTAGAGGTTTTTCTTGGTTTTCTTCGGTCCCTCCAATGAAATTCAGAGATAGTACCTTAAAACAGACCATGACTGCTTCCTTCCAGAGTCTACTCAATTTTTCATTCTTAAATTATCATTGGGCCATTTCTAATTTAATGACACATATTCTAAGCAGTTTATACAGGGTGTTTCACGACTTTAGGGTATAACTGCAGGAGGTGATTTCCTAGGTCTTTGTGATCAAAAAAGTTCATATAAACATGTGTCCGATTTTGGACGGTTACGGAGTTATGACCGTTTTAAACTCAGAATAGAAGGTGATGATTACTGACAATAAACGGAACAAAATAATAAACCAGCATAATACATGATACATTTAAAGTATGAATGTAAAGTTAACTTCGTGAAATTACCTTCAATTTGAATTGATTGGCGCTTAAAGCTGATTTTCAAAAATGTTACCGCCGGCCGCAACACAGGCTGCCGCTTGGCTGTGAACCACGCCAGACATACCAACCCACCCCGCTCTCAAGTGTCGAGATAACGAGAACGCTCTGTCTGTAGCTGGTTAAAAATAGCGACCTGCCAGCTGACAGATGCGGTTCATATGAGGGCGTGTACGGGAATTAAAAAACGGTCATAACTCCGTAACCGTCCAAAATCGGACACATGTTTATGTGAACTTTTTTGATCACAAAGACCTAGGAAATAACCTCCTGCAGTTATGCCCTAAAGTCGTGAAACACCCTGTATAGTGTTATTTAATAGGACTTGAAATATACATATGATCTCGTACACTGGGTCAAGTACCTTTACTACTTATTGGTTTGAGATTCCTTGCATTCAAGATCTCGATCTTCAGGATGTCTTCCAGAAACATCATCCTGACTGTAAGAAGACCTTGGCTAGATGTCTGCATTCTTTTCTGCTCTGAAAGTTGCTCCATGCGATACTGGTGCACCAACTCCCATGTGTCCATTTCATGTACTAGCAATAGTTGCTCCAGGTCTGTTAAGTTGCTTAAGTCAACATTTTCATTTAATTGCTTAAAAATTTCAGATACATTCTGCAGAATTTCGTGGAATTTTTTAAAGAATGAATTCCCTCTCTGGAAATGATAAAAACATACATAGAAGTCTCATATTAAATAGTTCCAGTTGGTGTAACACAGCTTAGTTTAAAGATAGAGCATCAGACAAAAATTCAGAAAGTAACTGGTTTGAATCCAAGCCTGACAAGTATTTAGTATAAGTTGCATGAAAGATGGAAACAAATATGTGGAAAGTATTAATTTTTATATTTGCAACAAATGCAACTTCAACACTAGAAACCTAATTAGTAGAAACTTACAGATCATTATCTTACTTTATGGCTAGAGCCAATGACACATACAAACAAAATGTTTTTCAAACATGAAAACAAGTTGATATGAATTATTTTCTATAAATTTGGATGACAATCTGGACCATGTTTAGAACTGTTTTTACAGACACAAAACCTCTCCTAAAATGTTTTGTAGACATTAAAAAAAAAAAAAGAGATTTGATCAGAAAAGAAATACATTTATATGAATTCACTAATAGGGTTTTTTATTTGTAATTTTGTTCACTAAACTGAAGCATAATTAATTTATTTGACATAGTAACCCTAGGAATGAAATCTTAAATGTGATAGTTACTAAAACAGTGTACACTACTTTTATAATGAACTAGCTAAGTATCCATTCTTTCGCTGGGCTTTCATCGTTGTCGTCGTCGTCATCATCATCATCATTAGCTTAATAGCCCCATATGGACTCTTCTTTTTTTCAAAAGCTTCTTCAATTGTTCTTAAAAAATGCCAGGCCCTTCCAGTTCCTCCCTCCTAGAATTCTGACATTCATAAGTCCTTTGCTCATTGCTTTTATGTCTTAAATAGGTAACAGATCCATTGGGCTTCTGCTTTTTCTGATCTCATAACAAGTTATTTTTATGGGATGGGGTCATTAACTTCACACCCAACTGCGAACCTGGAGGACCAGGCCTCTGTATTTGTCCTCCCCAGAGACAAAGCAGCCAAGCTATACAAACAGGCACTGAGTTACCGTTTTGGTTGTTTCTTACAACAAACAAGTATATGGTGCCCCACATGGGGTTTCTAAAAATAAACTACTAAAATAGTGAATTATTTCTTGCATCATGCATCTTAAATGATTAATTAAGCAACATGGCAAGATGAAATATGGGAGCACAGGGGTACAGCTTCATACGTTCTTAATCTCAGCTTTAGGTGGAGGTGAGTAGTCAGTTTTACATTCTGGCAGGCTTATTCCAAGGAGAAGAGTCCTTGGAATTAACTTGATAGGAGGATAACAGGGCCTCAGATCCGGTCTGGTTCGAGTTGGGAATGAGACAATGGATGTCCAGCCCCTACCTTAGTCACTATATTGATTGAATTATCGATTGTACAGATTTTATACAAACTCTTATCAAATGCTTGCTCCTGTGTGTATATTATATTAATTTTTAAGTATTTCTTTAGTATACTTTGTAAATAATGTAAATAACAACAAGACACTTTATCTCTTGCCACATGAAACTGCAAAGGATAAACACTGATTTAATCTTACCAAATTCTAAGCAAGAAAATGTGACATCACTCATCTTTTCTGTTATTAGTGCCATGGTACTGCAGTGTGTAAGGCTTCAAAGCAATAAATAATTACTTTATGCATTCAATCCCATATAGTTACAGCAATACTGATGAAACTGTGGTCATGGCATCATTAAATAACCAACTTAAAAAAAAAGAAAGTTAACAGAGAGATAGGAAGAAGGAAAAGTAATGGACACATATACTTCCAAACTGTACTGTATTATGGTCTAGAACTGGCAAGAGAGAGAGGGCAGAAGTACACATGAAAGAGAAAGATTTTATATTGCAGAAGATTTGGTTTCAGCCACAATCACTCTACCTTCAAGTTTATTTCCAGGACCTCATTTAGTTTACAGAACAGATTCTTCCAGATGATATTTAGAAAGCAACTGAAGTTAATGGAATCAAGGTGTGAACCAAATGTATACAGATTGTAAGCCAGTTGACTCATCAGTTTGCCCATCCTCTCGTCAGATTCAAGGCACTCAAATGTTTCCATCAAAATTTTGCTGATCGATGACATCATCTGAAAGACACCATATGAAAGAGTCAGGCTTGAATGTTACTAGTGATTCAAATAATCAATTCTGCTAATACAGGTTGTATATGGAATACCTTCTGCACAGCTGCCTCCCATATTTTATTCCTTGCTGTTTCAAATGTTTTATCAATTGCCACTTTCACTGTCTGCCTGCCGTTTTCTGTGGAAATTTCATCTACTCCAAGTTCACAACAAATCTGGCTAGATTGTTGCACATGGTTCAGGTTTGTTACTGCTAAGCACCACTGAAATTATTTCAAACATGTTAAGTTAAATACATTAACACATAATATTGCCATGAAATATTATTATAAAACATGTCTACAGTGGTCAGCTAAGGCCTGTTGATATTGAGGAATCTAAAAGTACTGCAGTTTGTGTTAGGGGAAACCACATGGCTATACATCTTGGGAACAGAAGTATGAAGCAGGCTAAAGACTGACCAACAGCCACACTGCTCCACTCCTCATCCTCATCCTCCTGGAATCAGTGGTTATGAAATCTTCACAGTTTATAATAAAATGATGAGCCCATGGGAAAATACTGTAATTCAGTTTGGACGTCAGAGCTATGGAATGTGAAAACTCAGTCATCAGGCTATTGTTAATTTTCTAACTTATTTTATATTATTACAAACAACACCAAATTAGTAGACAATTGTCATTATACTCACCATCTGAATTTTTTTGCCACTAAAAATTTCAGCTCCACATATTTCCTCTACTCTTTGACACATTTGATCAGCGTAGAAAATTAAACATTCACCAATGTCCTGAAATGAAGCACATACTTAAGTAGTAGTTTAGAATACTGTCATAGGTTTGTGTTGAGAATTCAGTCTGTGTGGTTATCATACTTTCTAATTTTCTGCTTCCTTCAGCAACAGGTCACACATTGCATTAAGAAATCTAGAGAAACAGGATGTGGGGGGGGGGCAATGAACAAATTCAATGTCATGAAAATGTTGAGGTGGAGGGGGGAAGGGAATGGGGAGATTGGGGGACGGGGGAAGAGAGAGAGTATGGCTACTTCATAACCCCGAGAGATCTATTGTGTGAGTTAAAACGCAGAACATTTTAATAATCTTCATGGAATTTTAAGCACAACTGGTTTCGGTTTCTCACAAATCTTGTATCAATATTTACTTTGTTAATACAATACATGTTATACTTACACTAATGATTTTCTCTGCAAACTCTTCGGAGCCCTTGGCATTTGGCCAAGCAAGTTGCATCCAAAATATTTTGATCTGCAAGAAAATTAATTAGAATATAAACTGTAAGATAAAATATAACAAATTTCAGTATTATCAATTATATATTAGAATAACTGTAACTATTTACGCAACTATATGGTGCAGGGTATTTTTGAAAAGTTTATAATAGTGTATTGGTCAAGAACTTCATGTTTTCATGAAACACAAAAATTAATCATTATGGCCATAAAAAAAGAACTTGAATCCAGTATAGCCTTTTATATAAGGTCCATTTTAATACTATCACATCTATGTCTAGGTCTACAACATGGGCTCTTTCTTCCATGCTTGCTGACATGTTTGTGTGCATTTATTTCCCCATGTAGGAGTATGCTACATTGCATGATCATTTTATCCTCAGTTCAACAACCCTAAAAATATCAGGTGAATGTATAAATTAAGAAACTTGATTATATGACTGTTTACTTCCTTCTGTAACTTCCTCTTTTACAGGTCCAAATATTCCTCACAGCACCTGGTTCTCAGAAATCTCAATCTCTGTTTTCTCCCTCAATGTGAGAGACCAAGGCTGTGTGCTGGGTCAGTGGCGCACATGCACAACTTCCCAGGTGTAAGTTGAGGTCTTGTTTACAAAGTTACAGAAATTAATAAATACTTCCCCCCAATCTTTAATTACAACAAACTTTATAATGATATGATGAATATGTACTGCAAGTAGAACAATCATAAGGAAAAGGCAAATAGTTCTGAAGTTTATTAGAGTGGGGAATTTACAGATATACAAGCAGCATACATCACAAATTGTGTCACCTTTCACGTTTGAAGACCATCCTGAAACAACATACTTCATTTAACAAAAATAGTAGGAAACCCAGGACATTTTTTAAATTAAACTGTTCCAGCAAGAATTGGTATATAGTCAACATAATTACTGTAGAACATTATGGTTACCTGATCAAATATGAGAAGAATATCACATGCTGATGAGCTATGTCTGGTGTCAGTGTAAACAGGAACCAAGTTGTCTAGTCGTACTGCCTTTTGTATCCAGTGCAAAGCTTTGTACTGTGACATACAGAGCCAATGATTGACTCCTCTGTGGAACCACTCATGGAACTTGTTAGGAAGGGTTAAATCCACATCCTCCTGGCACTTGGTGTGGCCTAGCCTGTTAACATTACCCATTAGAATAAACAGTGTGCTCAAATGAAATATAAAATTGCTAATTTTTGGAATTACACTTAAATTATCCTGAAAACTCATAAAGAATAGTTTGTACATTACTGAGCTAATGATTCTTATAAAGTGTTCCAGAATAATAAGAGGGTGCCCATGAAAAGGGGCTAAGTCAATAACAATATATTTATGACTTGTATTCTCTTCTCACAAACAGATCTTTATAACTTAACTTAAGACTATACATTATGATAAGAACTGTTTAGACTAAGATAAATGACACCCCATATGATCAATTTTCAGATACATTTGTGCTCTGTTTAAATTATGTGGTTGAGAAAATAAATTGTTTTTTGTAATTTCTGACCTCACCCTCTTTTCACATGCACCCATGAATTAAGACAGTCACTACTGTTCTGAAGTGAGATTACCCAGCCAGTACCAAATGTCAAAATATCCTGTGCCAGTCATCGGAATATCTAACACTTTCTCAAAGAGGTATCAACCAACTGCTCCCACACTACACAGATCAAAGTTCAAGCTTTGAGGTATCTGCTTTTGACATGCATTTTGGTAGATCCATTTCTTTTTCAATTCAAATTGTTTATGCCAATGTGTTTTGTCATGGTTTCTTTTTATACAGAATTGCACCAAGACCTTAATGCCTGATACTTTATGTGTTGATTGCAGAATGGTTATATTCACCGGGACAATGCAGGGGTAGTATTAAATGGACATCAGAGAAATAGGGTGTTATGATATGGACTGGATTCATCTGGCTGAAGATAAGAAACGGTGCTAGGCTCTTGTGAACATGCAATGAACCTTAAGATTCCATAGGACTGGATTCATCTGGATGAAGGTAAGGTACAAGGCCAAGTTCTTGTGAACATGTAATGAACCTTCAGGTTTGGGGAATTCCTTGAACAGCTGACTGCCAGCAGGTCAAGAAGGGCTATGTGGAATATTTTTGTCAGGGAAAAGCAAGCAGGGAGTTCAGGCTGCGGTGAATTTCTTTTACATGGAAAATGGAACGCACTCTACTGTCACCAACTGACAGAAGAAGCTCTGTAAGCTTTTACTGATTATGCACAATTTGCCAGTTGAATTGCTGTTAACAGAATACTTCCACTTTTCTGTTCAAAATTAATTTCCCATACATTAATGCTGTATAACAGAACATTCATAGCTGCATAGACATTTCATTAAAAATAGGGATGAAATTGATGCCAGGGATTTTCTTTAGAAGTTAAGGTACATTCATCTTGCCAAGAAAAATTCTGTTCATTATGGAACCTATATGTTAATCAGGACATTAATAAAGTCTGCCTTTAGACCCAATTCTGAGTCATTTTGGTCCAATTAACTTGTAAATACTTGTATTACACAATGCTTAAGAACATATACAATTAAAATAATTCCAAAGAAAATATTGGGAAATTAAATATTCTTCAAAATAAAAAGTAATGTACAAAAATATGAACACTTCATACCTGCAAACCCTGAATGAATTGTACTTGAAGAAATGAGTAAGGATTTCAAAGTTCATTCCTTTGAGAATGATCTTTACCATTGTCAGAGAACCCTATCTACTGGAGGATCTGAAAGTAAGAATGCTACTTCTGAGCATGAGAGTGTACAGAGATGCAATGGATGGGAGAAGAAGAAAAGAGAGGGAAATCTGAGAGAAATTTTATAGGGTAACAGCAGTGAAGAAGAGAGAACAGACAGGGCCAAACTGTGAGCTTGGACATGTAGTAACAAGGGTGGCAGTACATGAATTTCATAATAGAATATGTAGAAGACAACAATACCATATCCTGGAAGACAAATTCATGCACTGTCTATGATAGGTACCACCTAATATTGTGTGAGAAATGAGTGAAACAATCACAGACTACAGTAATATCGAACAATTAATATTTGTACATTATTTAAAACAATGATGATTATTATTGTGATTTTACTGAAATTATCATTGGTACATTGAAAAAACTTTTATAATCAGTTTATTAAATTATGCAACCGCTTTTAAGCACCCCACAAATATGAATCACGAAATTCCATGTAAGACTGGCAGTACCAAATTTGTAGGTATGAAAGCTGGTACAAAGAAAGTAAGTATTTGAAGCCAATTAAATCCCTTCAACATGGTCCTTTTTGAAAAGCAAATTTTCTCCCCTTATTTATTAGGACATTTCCCGTAATTTATCAAACCTGATGGTTTATTACAGTGTTTGCAAATGCCCATACTTGAGCTAGATGAACCCAGAAAATACTATCCCATCCTGTTCCTTTACGATCTGTTTTAAAGTTAGCCTCTCATCTATATCTATGTCTTCCAAGTGGTCTCTTCCCTTCAGGTTTTCTGAACAAAATATTGTTTGTTATTTTTCTCATTCCTTCCACACATGGTACATGCCCTGCTCATCTCATCTTCCTTAATTTGATCCTGTAATATTACTGTGTGAAGAGTGACATTTTGAAGCTTCTCATTATGCATTTTTCTCCAGCTTCCAGTCACTTCCTCCCTTCTGGGTCCAAATATTTTCTTTAGCAACCTGTTTTCAGACATCCTCAATCTATGTTCTTCTCTTAATATGAGGAACCAAGCTTGATACCCTTGCAGAATAACAGGTAAAATTAAGGTTTTTGTATTTTAATTTTTTGATTTTAAATAATAGATGGGAATACAAAGATTCTGAATTGACTGGTATCAATAATTCCTGAACTTTAATGTGCTGTTAATTTAAAAATGGATACAATTTTGATTTGTTACTTCGTTCTCATATATTTTAATTATGCCATATTTTCTAAGCATTTGTTAGCTGTCTTGAAGTTATGATTATCTCCTGCATTCTGGTGCTGGGATATGACAGTGTACTTAATTTTTTCTTTGTTTACTTCTAGAAGGAAGAATTTGAAATCAATATCATTTGGATCCAAGAAACATTAACTACATGGGAATGGAGAAGATTGTTATACCTCTGTAATTTATTGCATTCTTTTACATTTGCTTAATTAAGTTTTAGAAGTTACAACATTTTAGATAGTTAACTCACACAAAGAGGACAAGGAAATACATACACACACATCTAGTTAGGAAATTTATGCTTGTAAAACTAAGGTAGAAAGAGAGATGTTAAGAGAGAAGTACTCAAAATAGGTTGTTGACAGCTGAAGATAGTGTCCACTGGCAGGCTTTCATCTTAGTGATGTTGAACCTGCAGTTAGTTTATTAGTATCAATTGCAGACTACATCTGGTATCAGTATTAGAAGTCTCTGGCATTCAAATGGAAGGGTTCAACAAACTAAAGAACCTACTCAGGTTATCATTCTCCAGTCAGGTGTCACAATGAAGTTGCATCTGTTCAGTGTGACATAATCAAATGGTCATAAGTAATGAGATTCTGACACCCAGCAGATTGGTATAGTGGTAACAGCTTAGACATGCATTTGGAAGGTGCTCAGTTTGAATCTCGGACAGGATAGAGGCTACCATAACTGAGGTTTTTCAGGGTTTCCTCAGTTCCTCCATGCAAATGCTAGGGTAGTACTGGATTGGGTCATGACAAGGAAAAGGAGAGAGCTAGCTCACCTGTGGAACTTTTGCAGGCTAGTATAAAGTTCAAATAAAGCAGAACCAACAGCCAGAGGATCATTGTCATAAATCCCTTCCTCTGTGCTGTCCTTAAACTTCAGTGGGTTCATGCATGTCCATATGCTTGCAATAGTTGGCTCAATTGTCTCTGCAAACTGTGAGAAATCAATAAATATGATCATTTTCTATGTACAGTATTACACACAATGCACATGTAATCTGTATACTTAGCATAATAAAGACAATATACAACTTAAAACCATGGAAATGGATTCTTGTCTATATGCTTTTGCTCCTCTCATGCAATGGAACTTTGCTTACATTCTTACATGAAATAACCATCAAATATAATATTGTCACATGATAAGAGTGTGACTACAGATGGGTTTTGGATTGATGACTCAGATTTGTTGCACACTTTGATACAGCGTCTGACTACACTTTACAGTTCACTATTACACACACATCTGTGTCCACAGTCACATCTTTACTGCTATTGCATGGTAGCTGCTTCATCGGCAAACGTTCCTCTACCTCTGTGTTTCTGGACTGTCCCAAGCCTTAGCTACCAGCTTCTAACAGCAACAGCTCACAATGACTGAAACCCAGCAGTTCTCTTAACTACTCATTGCAACTGCTAACTGGTCCTGCTTACAACCTCCTGGCACAGACCACATAGAAAATGTGTCTCCCTTTATTGCTGTATTCTCTCATTGCCACAGAAACATGTTTGTTTGTGGAGCCGTTACTTAGCAATGACTGTTGTACAGTTACTTGTTTTGCAGTCGTTGCCTAGCAATGGGTCTACATGCCACAACATAAAATATTTTTAGCAAAGTATGTTTTGACCACTTAAATCATCTTCTGGGGAATTTTATTAAATTATATTTACATTAATATATGCTAAAATTCTTATAAAAATCTCTGTGCATCTCATGTGAGTATTGAAGAAAATAAACTGCATGGTTGTATAAAGTTACAGAACAATTAAAATTTCTCTGCCAGTAGTCCTGAACTTAATCAGGTCAGCCTTTAACTATGCTGGACTTGAGGTTCTCACAGCAGTGAACATGAAGAGTATTATCCTTTTCTGGGATATAGCACCATACAGTCTGGTTTGCCACAGTTTTCGGATGAATATTCTGCCTCAGTCTCCAGGGTCAATCCTGTAGATGGAGGCAGTAACTTCTTCTGAAATATCAGTGTTACACCACAGAAGATAGTGCTCATCAATTTTTAACCTATTAGTATTAACAGCAATCATCATCTTCCTACAGATTTTTGAAGCAAAACTGATTTATGCCCAATATTCCTAATCCCTTTACTCTCCTGTAAGAGAGGTATGCCCAGAGAGTAAATACCAGATGCATAAAGACATAAATTACTTTACCTTGCATTTTATTAGAACTGATTCAAAAGTTATATGTCTGTGATCTAATTTAAATGATAAAGTTGCCCCTGGGCCTAAGTAACAGGCAATGAAAGGGTTTTAAATTATAAGAATTAGATGGTGGTATGTAGAGTATCAATTTATTGAGATTATCCATTTTCTCGAATGTTTATAAAGTTGGATTTGAACTTGGGGTAAAGTGGGGTTCAGTGAAAAAAACACAGACAAAATAGAACTTTCTCAGAGCAATTTTCAATATAGTAGAGACCTTCAATACCACTTTCATTGATATTCAATGGATAGTTCAAGAAATGATTTGTCAGTGGACAGGGAGACATGGCCATAGTATTGTGTGTTCATTCATGCACTTCTGCAAACGCACAAAAATTCTTGAAAAAGAGATCTAGCATTATTTGTGGTCATTTAATGAGGTCCCTTCACAGTTCACATATCAAACAAGGTCAAATATGCACATCTACTTCCATTGCTATCACCTGAAGTGAGAGTCTTTCAAGTGGGAAGTGATGTCCTGAAGAAGGCAGCAGGTTCCTCCGATAAGTTGGGAAATATCTACCAGACTTCAAGGTGTTATAACCCAGAAGACAACAATTTTAAAGTAGGAAGTATCATCAGCTTCATCTCCTGAGCTCAAATTCCACCATATATCACACATGTTATATGAGTCTTGTATATAAGACATATTAATATGCAAGTATGTCAATATGAATTGATTGAGCTTTAGTTTATCCATTAGTCAGAAACATCACCTTACAGTCCTCATTTTCAAACTTCAGATTACAAATTAACTCTTAAATAATACTTTTCATATTACTATGTTCAAAGCTTTGTTAATTCCAATAATTTACTTTACTAGCCCCTTACAACTGTAATTTTTTTTTATGGCAGCCTTGTTTAGTATACTTACTTTATCATCAAAGAGCTTGTATAGCGCATCTACATATGGGAAATGGAAATACCTGGAAGTATAAAGATAACAAGTTTTAATATCAATGTATCCAGCATTTATGCCATGAATAATCAGAACATGTTTATTAATTCAATATTTATAACTTTAATGCTTGACCTTTAGATGCATTTGCAGCCCCGCACAACAGCTATTAAAATGTACCTGTACATCTACCCATTTGTATACGTGGAAAAACTTGAGAACTGCTGAATGGATTTTCATAAAATTTGGAGTTATACTAAAATCTTTTGACACATTCTTAAAACTGATTAAAGTAAGGCCCCTTTTCATGAAGACCAACATGCATTCCTGTATGTATATAAAGCAAAACTTATTAAATATGTATTCGAGTAAATAATCTTAATAGTTTGCAACCTGTTGTGTGTCTCAAATAAGATATAAAGCATACAAGAACTTAACTGTTTACACAACAACACTCTGTATTTTAAAACAAAGAAGACACTACTGTATCAACATTTGTTTTTATTAAGGCTTTTATAGATGTGACACGTTTCGGCCCCTATATCAGGCCACCATCAGGCGTATAGTGTTCAGTTTTAAGCTGCTGAACTGCATCCAATTCTCATTCAGTTCTCTAAATAAGGATCCCTACTGTGTTTTTAGGACTTAATACAAATACATAAGTATATATAAAATAAGTCTTGGTCGAAATTTTAACTGAATGTACTTAAACAATGCAAATTAAAATTATAACCTAAAGAAGTTAAAATTAAAAACATGAGAAATTAAAATGCTGAAGATTAAAATGATAAAAGTTAACAGTTAAAAATTGTGTATTGATGGCAGGACTCTGCGACCTGCTATGTGTTGATCAATATTTGCCAGTGGAAGCGACTATACCATAGGGAGCCTTAATAAAAACAAATGTTGATACAGTAGTGTCTTCTTTGTTTTAAAATATAGTGTGTTGTTGTGTAGATGGTATATTCTTGTATGCTTTATATCTTATACGAGTAAATAATGTTTAAAATAAAAGTTGTAGAGAAAATTGAAGCAGCTACTCGAGAACTTCCCTGAAGTTCATAGAATCCGAAGGTTCATTACTGTGTTCACAAGAGCCCTCCAATGATCCCGATTCTGAGCCCCATCAATCCAATACATATCACTTCATCCTATCTAAGTTCTATTTCAATATTATCCACCCACCTATGTCTTGGTCTTCCTAGTGGTCCCTTTCCTTCTGGCTTTCCCTGATATCCTATATGCATTCCTCTTCTCCCCCATTCGAGTTACATGCCCTGCCCATCTCATCATCCTTGACTTCATTCTCATTATGCTTGGCAAAGAGTATAAGTTATGAAGCTCCTCATTATGTAGTTTTCTCCAACTTCCTGTCACTTCGCCCCTCTTTGGTCCAAATATTCTCCTAAGCACCTTGTTCTCAAACATCCTTAGTCACTATTCATCCCTTCATGTCAGAGATAAAGTTTCACATCCATACAGAACCACAGACAACATTGGTGTCTTGTATATTCTAACTTTTACATTTTTAGACACCAAAAGAGAAGACAAAAGATTGATTGGTAGCAAGCATTTCCCAAATTCAGTCTCCTCTTAATTTTCTCCTGAATCAAATTTTGATTTGTTACTGTCGTTCCCAAATATTTGAACTATGCCACATTTTCAAAGGATTTGTTAACTATCTTTGTGTAATGATTTTGGTGATGAGACAGCAACATATAATTAGTTCTCCCTGTGTTTACTCCTAGATCAACCTCCTTACTAGCATCAATTAAAGTTTCTTTGTTTTTCTTTATGATATCTATGTTATCACCCAGTAGATTCACCTCAACAGCATAGACTAGCAGCTGATGTGTTCCATTTAATTTCAATCCTACCTAGTTTTCCTGGACCTTCCTAATGGCATATTCTAAAGCAAAGTTGAATAGCAGTTGTGACACACCATTTTCTTGTTTCAGATGATTTTGAATAGGAAAAGTATCAGACAAATTCTTAACTATGCAGACACTACCATTGGTTTCATTTAAACACATTTTAATCAGCCTAACTAGTTTCATAAACAGGTCAGTAGTTGATCTATTATGTCAAAACCTGCATTGATGATTCCCAATAATTTCACCTAAGTATGGACTTAACTTTAACAGAAGGATACTGGATAAAATTTTCTATGAAGTTGATAACACTGGCATTCCTCACTAATTACTACATTCAATTTCATCGCCTATCATGTAAACTGGTAAAATAGTAGACTCCTTCCACTGCTGAGACAATTCTTCCTTACTCCAAATAGAATTAACAAGTTTATGGATTGATTGATCAGTAACTGTCAGATGACAGGTCCACAGTCTCTTCCAAAACAGTTCCTCCACTTAATGTGATCTTCTGTTTTTGGAAAGAGACTGTCCAGGAAAAGTGATAATGTGGTAGTTTTTCCATTTGCTTTCCACATCGCAGTACAACAGCCGTTCAAACCACTCTGGTCACGCCTGTTGCTATACGAACTTGAACCATCTCGAGCATCATTTGTTCTGTGCTTCAAGTCGCTGCTGATGACGCTGCTTCCGGCATCAGTTTTTGGTGTCTCTCTTCGTCTGATGCCTACCCTTTGACCTGTCCAGCAAGGGAGGCCCTGCCAGTAGCTACGCTACTGCTGGTATAGCTCTCAGGGTCCTTGGCATACTCAAACCCCCTCACCACGATAAGGTGGAGACACCAACGAGGGGGCAAGTTTATGGATATCAGACCGTAATAGTTCACCTCCTGCTTCAATCAGTTCTGCCAGAATTTGATCACTACCTGGTGATTTATTCTTCCTCAGCTTTGCAATAGCAATTTTAATCTCAAAAGGACTGGGATCAGGCATAAATGGCTCAGCTGTATGTATTTCTGACTAACATCACTGACACTATGTATGTTCAATAACTGAGAGAAGTAGTTCTTCCACCTATTCAAAATGTTTTGGGAATCTGCTAGCAGATCACCACTAAGTTACTTCTAGGTTGATAACCCCTCTTAAATTCATTCATTCGTCATTACAGGTCTCTCATGTTCTTGTTCTTACTGTTCATTGCAAGCTCATCAATTCTGTCTTTCAGATATTCCTTCTTCTTATTCCTGAAATGCCTGCTAGCTTCAAGTTTTATATTGTTCAGATTATCCCCATTTATTTAATTTGGATCCTGTAATCATTGCATTTTGGCTTATTTTCTTTGCTCTAATAATTCTGAACATCCTTCTTCGAACTATGGCTTATGCTTCCTTCAATTTATAATAATCTAGACTCTCCTTTTATCTTTATTAATTAACAGTAAATAGCTCTGTGTTTATTATGAGGTATTAATTATTAAGTTTTTGTAAAATGAGGCACCTTCAGAATATAGAATGTCCCCAACCCCTTTCTCACACTATCCATATTTTATTTTCTTGTAATTAATTTGAAGGATATGTATATTAGCATGTCACTCATAATTCCCTCTGCAGAGTACATCTGTTCATCTTATTTATGGTGGATATGTAGTGAATATGTAATGGTTGAAATACTGACTCTTGAAATATTGTATCATGAAGGTCTGTGGCTTTCTGCAGAGACACTGTCACAGTAACCACGACATTACAAAGTCCTTTTATCTTTTCTTCTTCATCACTGACATCATTCACACCATAATTTTCGGTGACCTTGGAAAACCTGCCAAAATGAAATGTATAATAAGTCTTACTGTAATACAACTTTAACCAGAAGATACTTCAAAATTATTAAATAATTTAAGTACCTAGGAACAACAAAATAGAAAGAAAGAAGACAGAAGAGTACAACTGTCCGGATTGCAATGTCATGTAGTTCAAAGACAGCCCAAGCTTGCCATCTGATTTTGCTGGATTCTTGCATCACTTACACTTCAACCCCGATGGTGAGACAATATTTTCATCCAAATTGGTCAGAAGTCTCTGAACTACATGGCATTACAATCCAGAAGACCATATTCTTCATAATCACCATGCTGAGAACATAAAACATGTATATATATATGTGTGTGAAATTAAGAGAACGGTATATTAAGGATATGCTTCATAGTATTCAGTTTCAAGCATATCATTGTGTTTGCTTAAAGGAACGTTAAAGGTTAAGATATGTATGAACAGATTATATTTGCCAGTTGTTTGTATATTTGAAAAGTGATCTTGATTCAGAACATATATTTAAAGTGTCTAAAAACACAATTCTAAGGAAAGCATTTGGATCAAAGAGGAATGCCAAGTTGGGGAACAAAGGATGTTACATAATGAAGAATTTCGTAATATAGTTCACTTACTATTGTTAGGGTAGGCCAATAAAGAAGATTAAGACAGGCTGGACACATGGCTTGGTTGGGTTAGAAAAAAATATATTTATAGAAACATGGTGAGCAAATCTTTAAAAAAATGAGTGTGGTTACTTTGATTACCTAGGAGGGAGAGGTTAATATTAAAATGGAAGAATTGTGTAATTCACCTGGATGAACTGAGAAAGACCACATAAAACCTCTGAATAGTTGAGGTTCTAATTGAAATTCAAACTTGTCACCTCCAGAATACAAATCAGATGCATTATTACTTGAAATATTTTGTTCAGTATGCTTAGATTAAAAATATGGTTATCTTTGTGTACATTTTGCTAATGAACACAGACATTGTAAGGTTTCAGTTGAGAATCTGGTTAATAATTATTATGATACTTATGGTTTTCAGGGCAGCCCATATTCATCATAGAGCCATTTTGTCACTGCAAAATATCAAAAGGGTTAAAAAAGATATCTTAAATGTTGCAGACAATCTGCTGTATCTTTCTTCAGCATCTACCTCAAAATATTGGAAATTTTTAGCTTTTCAACATGATGTAACACTAAGAACTTCACAGCAAAAATCACCTGTTATCTTAATGACTTGAGTATTTAGCATGCATTTGCTGCCTTTCGAAGAATAAATGTTGTGAGTAAACTGATAATGATGTAATTTGGAAACATGTTTTGTGAGAGGTTGAATTAAATAAGCTTAAGGTAGCTTACCACTCTGCTGCTCCTTGTATGGTTGTTTCAATGACAGCAGTGTGAATGTCGCGATAATCTGTATTCTTTTTCCATGGCGGCCAGTCATTAACAGGCGCTGGAAACAAGATTATGTCTCTAGGAGGCCGTAGGTCTTTCAAAAGACTTAAAAGCCTGAAACAAGAAATTTCAATTAACTATCAGGATAATTTATATTTCCAAATGATCAGACCTAAGTTTCAATACTGGCTGTACTCATGTGCATATTTTCATATTATTACACAATACAGATTTCACATCAACTTAATCATTCATTTGATATTGTCCATTGATGCCTTGCTATTTTATAAATTAATTAAGCTGTATATTTGTTACTTATCTATTACTTCATTCGAATAAATATTTTTCATTGTGTCTACATTCTTTTAACTGTCTGTCAGAGGTACTGGACAACATTTTCATTAAAATCTGTTATAACATGTCTCTTTTTTATGCTATCAAATGCTTTGACATAGTCAATGAAAACAATACACATTTGTTCATTAAATTCCCTGTTTCCAGCAACTGGATTTACGACAGAATGACTTCTGCCTCATTCCAAGGTGCCGGGAAGTGACAAGCCTAAGAGTGTGATTGCATAAATGTGTTAAATGCAAAAGAAGTCTTCTTGAAAGATGCTGTACACATTCATTTTGAATGCCATCAAAACCATAGGCCTTTTCTAATTTCAAGGATTGTATTTAATTTGAGACATCACATGGTAAGAAATTAACAGGGATGTCTTTATTGACGGTAGCCAGCAGGGCTTCAACTTGAGCCTCCATGTGACATCTATGGTCATATTCACACAAGTCATCCATTCCAAACTGGTTTATTAAGCATTCTGTGATTATGTTGGGTTTATCATTTGGGTAAAATGATATGATGAATTGCAGACCTTGCCTTTGTTCTGCAACTTTCTGAGAGAGAGTTTGCAATAGGTCATATTGCTTGACGTGTGACTTCAGAGTGTGCCAACTCTGTTTCCCATCTTTCAAGTGCTCTTTTCTGGACCATTCTCCTGATGTTTTGAGTGGCCCAGCTTACTGCCATTTTGCATGCTGAATTCATGGTCCCTTTCCATAATTTTCTGAACTTTCTTTTATGATTCAATAAACGATACAGGCTAGGTATTTTGTATTTTCAGTCTAAAATTGTAGTTTTCATAGTCAGAAAGCCTAGATGCTGAAGCTATAGAGGCTGCAAAGTCATGCGCTGCTTTATCAGCTTCATTAGAAGAGTGAATTTGAATGCTTATGACAGCGATTAATAGCATCGGTTTACAGGTGCTCCACAAAGTGGCCTCAAACATGGTAAAAAGAACTTGCGCATGCATTGCTGAACAGGGAAGCCATTTCAAGCATATGTTGTAAAGACATGATTTGATTTTGCATTTCTAAGATGTACGAGTAAGGTTATAAACATTAATAGTAAGTGCTGTATGTCTTGTAATTTGTGCATTAAACCAGATTATAATTGCTTAGTGTGATGTGTGCGACTTCTCGACCTCCCTGTATCATGTCATCCTTCCTCAAGGCATACATGCCAATTACTGATAGCTTGTTACTGAATACCTTATATCTCAATTCTATACTTCTCTCACTAATCCCCACTTCTGATGCTCTTTACTTCTGGTACTCAATAAAATAGTTATCCGTTGCATTGTTACTTCCTTTAGTTCTGTCAGTTTCTGAAGTTGCTGTTATATCCACTTCCTTCAATTCCTATTCATATTCCTGGGGTTTGCTGCAAAGACTGTCTAATTTCTACATTATTAAATTTTATTTCTCTTTTAGTCCAAAATTTTTGTCTATTTCCCTGGATAACAGTTCTCCTGATAGCCATATATATTCTTTGGCCGTGCCATAACTCAAGTGGTTAGTCGCTGGCTTCCCACTGCGGTGGTACGGGTTCGATCCCTGGTCTGATCAAGTGGGATTTGTGGTGGGGCAGGTTTTCTCCGAGTACTTCGGTTTCCCTGCCAATCTTCATTCCACCAACTGCTTCACAATCACCCTCACCTATCATCTGGGGCTGGTACAATAGGCCAGAAGTGGCCACAGTTCAAGGAACTTAGTCCCACCCCAATAGCAATAAAAAAATAATAGCCATATATTTGGAGTTAATGATAAATAATTTTTAATGTAGATGCCTTACCAGTCCCTCCCAGGTCTGAGGAAACCATATATTGTCTTCATAGCTCTTTATTCCATAGACATCTTTTAAAAACTCTGGAACCTCATGTACCCTGTTGTTAGGCACAATAGATCACTGTGGTCGCAGTGCAAGGGCCAAGAAGGCCCACCCCATATACATTCATACCCTGTTGTTAGTTGGCTTCTCAGTATCGATCTCTCGAAAATGAAAGGCCCTGAGAGATGGTATGCTAGCTTAGCTGTCATTCTTGGTGGCACCCAGTTTTCTCTGCCATGTAGAGGGCTGTTCCTGCATAATCACAATATGCATGATTTCACTATTACAAGTTTTCCTACCTGAGAATAATGGATGGCTCATTTATAGTCTTCTTATTTGAAGCGAGTACTTGTATATTTCTAATTCCAGATAGACAGAATGGTAGTAATGTAACTGCAGCCTTCCAGAACATCTTCTTCTGAAAATATAAATTTGCAAATTCACAGGAATATTCATATAAATACATTTTTGGTAAATGAAGTCTGATTACCTAAAATAATCCAAACTCAAATGACCACAACAGCATTATTGAAAGTTTAATATGCTGCTCTTTTAAAGGTAAGGTAAAGTTGTCCCCGTGCTTAAGTAATTAAGCACTACGCCATGAAGACGTATGGGGGAGTGGATGTATAGATCCACATTTCCTTGATCTTGGCACTAGCTGGAGGTGAGTGGTCAGCTTCATGTCCCAGCAGCTTTACCCCTAGGGAAAGAGCCCCTGGATAGGAGGCTGAGTGGACCCCAGAGCCAGTCTGGATGACCTGGAGAAGAGAAAATCTGTGACCCTAATGGGACTCAAACTCCGACCCCTCAGTCGTCAAGCCCATAGCCAGTCACTATACTGACTACACTATCCCCGCTCCTATTTTAGAATTATAGAAACTATTTGAAACGTGTTCTCATTCTGTTCGAATCTACAGATAGCTGAATGTGAAACCTTAACTGCAATGTTATTTCAGTGAACTCTTCATTTCCATGATTTATTTCACCATCTTTTAGTGCATACACTTATCTACCTCACTCCTTTCTCCCGCACTACATGTTTCGGCACAAAAGTGCCATCTTCAGGTGCTTATTCGATTAACGTTAAACTAGTTCATTGCATGCCTTGTCTTCATATTAAAATAATTAAAATATATATTTATCATATATACTGATAAATATTAAAAATATTAAAATTGTTCAGGATTTTTCCTACGTCGTATCTCACTTCTCGAGTCACCTCTAATCTCTTCTGTCGGAGCACTCTATCTATTATCTTGTGTGTATTGTGTTTTATGTTGTGTCTTGCTCCTGTGACTGCGTGTGTTATACTCTTCATTTTTAATCTACAGTGAACTGAATTTAATGTGTTAAAATTCCAATTGTGATTTTTCAATGTAATCAGTTCAACATGCATGAAACTGTTATCATACTGAAAATACAGTACAATAATCAAAATTAAAGTACTTGAAATGTGCAGTTGTACTGACTGCTGGAAGAGATTGGTATAAGGAAACTTCTGTATGAAGAAATAACTAGATATGAGTCATGTAAACTCACAGATATAATGAACCTCAAGGCTATAAGTTACTCTATACTTGCTTGAAGAAAATCAATTCCTACCTCTTCCTCTGTGGCCAAATCTTCCTGAATGGTCCTGTTTAGTTTCTGTAGCAAGGACAAGAATATGGTAAAGCTAAGAGGGTGACATGTGTGGATGTTGCTGAACTCAATCCATTGAGCCAGTGTTTCAGAAACCAGGGAGAGACCACTTTGGACACGATGCTGAATTAATATTTTCTCAGCAAGTCCTGACAAATTTCCATTCCAACTGTGTGGTTCTACCTATGGAAATAAAATGTTTGGTTTTTTACTTATTATGCAAAAGAGGAAGATATATATATCTTGCTTCATGTCTCTATCTTGGTAGATAATTTATTACTTCTTGTTTTATTTAATGATAACTTCAGAAGTTATATAGCTTTGTGCTCATGAATTTGGAAGAATACTCTTATGTGAGTTGAAAGAATGATGGCATGCAACAAACCAGAAAGAATGCAGACTCAATATGCTCTCTCAGATATAGCATGTGAGGGTCATAGAGAAGCCACAAAAATATTCAGTTAGATTAGCAAATACCAGACAAGAGACATCTGCCTTAATATTCTGGATAGAAGTAAAGTGCATCAGCAAATGAAGAAAATACTGTTCTCTAATTATAGCTGACCAATTACTGGAGGTATAACTACAAAAATTTAGGTTGCATTCATTTTTAGTGCACCTTTCAGATCATGTTCGAAAGTTGGTTTGATTTGTTGATAATAGCACATAACTAGTGCAAGGGAATTGACTATGAACCCTTCAATCAATAATTCATTGACCCATGCTTTCACTTCACAATTAGGTTGGTTTCCCTGACACAACAGTTCATTGGTATTACTCCATCTCCTCTGATGAAAGTCATCATCATGGAATTTTTTACAATTTACTTGATATTTCCCATGGCTCAAATTTAACAAAACCTGCTAACCTGTGAAGTTTTAATTTCATGAAGAATTACATTCCTGATCAGATGCCTGTGTTCCTCGAATGCTGCCTTTGTGTTCTCAAAGCAAAATGTTAGGTGAAGCTTTATATCACCCCGTTTCTTCATTTTGTCTTTCTTATTTATTCTGTATGACAATAATTGGCCTGCTGCTGAAATATCCTGAAAGAAAATCAGTGACAAATTGCAAATGAATCAGTTACTTATGAACATCCACACTGTCAAAACTGAAGGATTTGAAACTGTACCATAAACAAGGCTTCAAACATCAAATTGTTACATCATTTATTCACTTAGACTGTTAGGGAACAACATGAACCAGAAGTATTTCATATTAATGCCACTATGGGAGTATAAAACATCTAGTTTAAATACTGACATCAAATTTCCAGAAAGTCTAATGTCATTAAAAAATATATACATATTGTTTCTTTAGTTTTATTAATTTCATCAAAAACGTTTTCATCAGATGAAAGGTAATGTGATATTCTTAAAAATTATGGTTTGCTTCCAAGTCATATGGCAGTCCTTTTGGAATTATGCAGTCTAAGATTAACATTTTGAGCATATATTTTATCAAAGGATAATATTTTTTCAACAGCCATACCTTCAAAGGAATGAATGCACTTCCAATCAATTTATTGTCATGTTTTCTTGCAGATGCTGAAGATACAACCTCTTTCAGTAATATTTTTAGACCTTTCACACCCTTCACCTTTCTAATCTCTTTAATCTTCTCTTGAACTGTCTTATCTGGGATGAAATTCCTAAAATAAATATGAGCCCATTTATTTATATACTCAAGAGTCTTTTCAGCAAATTTAACATATTGACAAAATTAAGCCTAAGTTAATAGATGCATTTCAAAAGCAGTGAGGTCTGAGGTTCCCATGGTGATGACCATAAATATTACTGTTTTGTGGGATGCGAGGCCATGCAATTTGGTACACAGGTACCAAATTTCTCCAAAACTTTGGTACTGTGGCATGCAGACCTGATGCTATGCAATGACCATGAAATAAGCAATGATACTATAGCCGTTGCTAGGTAATGTCTCTGCCAACAGGCATGAATGCAACAATGCAACAGAGGAGCAGTGTTTTCTGCGTCAACAAGGAGGAAAAGGCATTCCCCATAACCATGTAGACCTATGCTACGTGTGTAGTACATACACTTGACAAAGGTGAAGCTTATTCATAAGAAACAAACCAATCCCCTTACCAGAGGATGACCACAAGGGTTCAGTTGCAAAAAAAAAAATCTGGTTGTGAGCCTCAAGGGGCTTGTTGCCAAGATGAATTGATTGGCAGTGAACTGGCAGTCATAGTAAATCTGATTCCAGCTCTGAGTCAGTCATTTAGCCAAGAGTTGCTCTAGCTGAGGCCAGAACAGTTCACAAACCCAGAGGAAGGGGAATGTCTGCAGCTGGAAGCTGTTACCAGAAGACTGATGAAGACACAGCAGGCTGAGAAGACTTAAGTGTATGCTCTAGTGAACTGTAAAGCATTTGAATTAGTGAAACGGTTATAATTACTTGTAGTCACAGATCTGTAACAGTTCAGTAAATCCAATTACCAGTTCAAAACCTGTCTACAGTCACTCTATCACATGACAGGATTTATCTACCAAATTACATGACATCACATTCCAGAAGACAATAATTTTCAATGGTCAGTCAGTTGGTTAGTAGTCTGGGTGCTCAATTTATTAGCTTATTTCCTATATTCTTGCAAAGGATTAATGATGTTATAAATACTTAAACAAACTGTATGAAAAGGGAGTGGATGGAAAACATCATGGTCATCAACATTGTTGTCGTAGTTGTCATTGTCATCATCTCCTCCAGTAGTTCAAGTATATAGCAGTTAATGGGGACAGTCTTTGCCAGACGTACAGTTGTTCATTATATGAAGGTTACGAGTATATGGTGCTTTATCTTTTACTGATATATAATTAGAGGTGAGAGAATACAAGTCTTTTGTGAGGAAATTTGACAACCTGATTTATTATTCTAAGGGGTTCTGACAATGGTGGATGACACACAGAATTACTGGGTTTCTGAACTTCTTCCATAGTCCAGAAAATACCGGATGATGGAAAAAGTCCAAAAACCCAGTAATTCTGATTTATTATGCTGGTCCCCTGAAATCACAACATGTCACAATCCCAGACATGTACATATATATGGAGTTAAGAGTCAGTGAAACATTTTGCATGTGACTGTACTGTTTGAAATTGTTCTGGTAAACATACAATTATTCGCACTTCAAAATACGACTAAGGTAAAAGTAATGTCATACATACCAAAGCTCAACACAGAGGACATCATCTTCTGGATTTTCTACTGATCTGTAAATGAATTAAATATGCACATGTACGAGTATTCACGGGCTATTCTATAAATGAATAAAACTGTGATATATATGTTTATCCAACCAAAACTTTGTATATGGCTAAACACAATATAAGTCATAGAAGGAAATAAAAAACAACTACATGTAAAAGAAAAAAGGGTTTTCTATAACAATGTCTAAGGGAGAAGGCAAATTCAGCAATTTAATATACCTCTGTTAAGAAATAGTTCTAATTCTTCACACCAGGCTTGAAATCTCTGTGTACCTCAGTGTTATATAGAAAATGTAATGTAGGGGATGGGGTCCACTCAGCCTCATGAGGATAACTGAGGAGCTATTTCAAGGAAACAGCAGCTCCAGTCTAGAAAACCGAAATTAACGGCTGTGGGGGATTCATTGCACTGACCACGCGACACCCTCTATCCAATAAAGTTGGGACTGACTTCACCGACAAGCAGCAGTCACTCGGTCAGTATAGTTCACTTGCGGACTAAAATCATGGAGTTTGATTGAATGTAAACAACACCATGCAGAGTTCATTAAGATTTAATGAACAATGCTAGAAATCCCACCTGAATCACTTCCACCCTATCTCCTTTCAAGAATTAGAAGCTGTGGGTCTGTAATCCAGGCAACAGCTGCATGGGCAAGATAGTTTTGAGTATAAGCAAAATGTGGAATATTTCCTCTGTGTTATCATATATCATATCTTACCCTCAAGAATGGTTCTGCCTTCTCAACTTATCTTCTTATGTAAAGTGAACAATGTGACATTTCCTTGATGTCATGCATAAAAGGAACTGGTTCACAGAATTATGAATACATACTTCATTCTCATTATCCCACAACTAAGGAATATATAATTGACTTGCATATGAAGGTAGTTGGTTGAGGGGCTATGCTACAAGCTGGAAGGTCGTGGGTTCAAGTCCCGATGAGGTCACTGGATTTTTTTCAGTTAACCTAATCCTTCCAGCTGCACTATGGCCCTGGGGTTGACTCAGCCTCTAAGTGAAATGAGTATCAGGAATTAATTAAATAATTCTCCTGGGGAGTAAAGCGCAGCCAGAGCGTAAGGCTGACAACCTTACCACCATCTTTGAGCCGATTGTCTAGATAATGTGGGACTCTCAACGTCTCACAACCCTATGGGCCTTCACAGCCTGGTACAGGGATAGCTTTACTTTTACTTTACTTTTATGAAGGGATGAGAGACATGAGAAACAGAGAAAATGTGTGTGGGCAGGCGCACGCAAGGTACTTACAATTGAAACTCCTCTTTCCATACTGGTTTTAAAGTTTCCAGCTTCACTGATGTGTTGTGATGCACAGTGTTACTAGAAGTCAAATAAAGGGAACAAAATGGGCTACTTAAACCTGCATAAATAACAGAAGAAAGAAAATGTCCATAATTAATCATACTTGTACATTTGTATTTATACATCCTTCAGAATAAATTTACAATTCTCTATGAAGAAATAAGTATTGGTGTGATCAAATCACAAATGTACATGTCTATATTGCTTCAGGAACAGTATAGTAAAAGCATATTAGTTTTAGTCTCATGAAATGGAAAATCTTCAAATGGAATTGATATAATATTACAACCACATTGCAATGTCAGCAGCACTTAGTAATATAATGATGAACCTATGTGCTTTCATTAGCAATATAGTTATTTTCAGAAGAACTCAGATGGCCTGTCTGAACACACTATCATCATTCAAGGAAGTATTAAAATATAAATTAAAAACACATTTTCAGGTTAAGACTACCAAATATTGCAGTGAAGTGATTAACAGTCTTCTTTCATATTCTGGTGTTATAGTTTTGAATATTTTCAGAAAACAACATAACCTAGGATGCTTTATGGGTTTTCTCAATCTCATCAAGAGAATGCCATGAAAGTAAAAATTTCAAGTTCGATTTATGTGTTTCTGCATACAGACTGAATAAAATGTATATCTGCATCTATTTCTGTATGATTCCAGAAGAGCTGAAAGATTTATAATAAATTTGGAACAGGGGATCTACATTAACATGCAAATTGTCTTATTATTTGGAATATTTTACATTCTTTTAAGTTAATATTACAAAGTCAATCTAATGCAGGCACAATTCAGGTCACAAGGCCTACCTGTGACAAGTTTCACTGCATGGAAATCTGAGCTAATCCTGAATGCAAGTGAATTTGGAAATAAATTTAAATGGGTAAATGGCTCCGTCAACACAACGTAAATATCTTCAAATGAAGATGAAACTAGATACTGACATATCGCTATTATTTATTATATAATTGTTTTGACCTTTTCTAGGTAATCATCAGGAGTTACTTGTGTCACCATTATCATAGCAAATCCACCCTTCTGATGAATGTAGACTAGTAATAAACGCACAAACCTTGTGATGTGCAGTTATGTCCAGATTAAAATAAATTAGAATAAAATTAGACATATACATCCAGAGTGGTGTATATCTACTAAAGTGTTACAAATGTATGTCAGACAAACAGGACGTACATTCTAAGTCCAGTATAAAAACACATACAAGCTATCCCTGTAACAGGCTATGAAGGCCCACAGGGGTGCGAGATGTTGAGGCGCCCACATTTTCTTTAGGCAGTCAGCTCACAGATGGCAGTAAGGATGTCAGCCTTATGTGTCAGCTGACCATTGATATTCTTGTAATGCTTGATGGTGACCTAGAGAAGGGTGAATCATGCAGCATCACCTTTACATAATAAACATAGAGACATGACAGTTATCTATTTTCATTTTCATCTGAAGATATTTACGTTGTGTTGACGGACCCATTTACTCATTTATCTAGTACACATTGGGATGCAAACCATAAAGATGGAAATAAATTTATTGGCATCACAGATACTTCCCCAAAGGAAGAGTACAACGCATGCAGTAACAGGAGCAAAACACAACACAGAACACGATACACAAATATATGTAGGAGGAATGCTCACATAAAAGAGAATTGGTATAATTCGCGTGTTTGAGTGTGACATAGGAAGAATCCTGAAAAGTTTTATTATTTAGAATTTATCGTCCTATATGATGAACACAAATTTTAGTCATTTTAGAATGGAGACATTATGGCATGCAGTACAATAGTTTAACGTGCATAAAGACACCTGAAGATGGCACATTAGTGCCGAAACATGTAGTGTGGAAGTGAAGTATAAGGTGAAAAAGTGTATACACTGTAAGACGGTCAGCATAAACTATGGACATGAATCAGTGTAACAGGACGCTAAAATATAACATTCCCCAAAGGTGTTCACTAATGCATGTATTACAGTGATGTTATCACATACCAAGGAGTTCTATTTTCTGGGATATAATGCCATGGGGTCTCAAAGTTATATCCCAGAAGATATAACCACCTCTGTGAGACTCTTAAATCCAGCATTATCACATACCATTTGCATCAGTGGGTTTCAAAATTGTGGCTTCAATTACTTCAGCATTAAGAAGAACTTTTGGTGCCTGAAACAATAAATTTTACCAAAGAACACTAAATAAATAGCAGGATGTGAATGCATGATACATATAACTTATTTTATTATTACAAATTTTAGTACAACAAAACAATGAAATTCAGAGATGAGATCAGCTGTTTTGTATTTAAAAGTACTGACCAATGTAATGAATTTTCATTCAAGACAAAATCTGAGTGAGGATTTGGCAGTTTGGGTACTAGCAGAGATAAATTCATGTCTTGAGGTTCCTCACAAGTGACAAAATTAAAATTCTGGTGAATGTAAGAAGTACTCTTCTCTCCTTCTTCATGCATAGTAGATCCCTTAGACTGGTCATCATTCCACTATTTCGGAATAAATGTGGAGTCCTTCACCTCATGCCAAATAGGCAGATCAAAAAGCCACAATGGCTTTAGAACTGAGTAGTACAATAGTAAGACAAACTAATATCAAATTATATGTAACAAAATCTGGAAAATATAAAGCAATATCCAAGCTTCTAGACAATTTATAAGCCTGAATATGCACAGTCAAACTCCATTTTGTCTCCTAGTTTGGGTGAAAAGGAACATGGAGCACAAAATAAACAATCAAACAGTTCTAAAGATTTAAACAAGACATTTAATAAACTGCAAACTCAATACTTGTTTATTTCAAACATGGCAAATAGAAGTCTTCTGTATATAACCATGAGCTTGAAATCATGAATACCAGAAATATAAAGCCTCCTCACCTTTCTTGCTCTTGCTACTGCAAGGAGATGACTGTGTGTAGTATCATCCAATTCAAAGACTTTTTGTAAGTATTCCAATAGGGCCAAAGAGTCAAGTGCTGCATTATGGCCTCTGAAGTGCAGTGTTTTATAGATAATTTCACCATACTGCTCATTCATCTGTCAAAATAATGTTAACATACTCTAGTTAATTTTACTCAATATAAAAAATGCAACAGCTCACCAAAAACCATTCATACAAAGACAGCACAAAATACTTCTTCTTACTAGCCAATGAAATAACTGAGCAACATACTCTCTTATAAAGTTCTTCTTTGTGTAGTGGAGATCAAGCTCAAGAAATTCTATGCTACTGTGAACTCCAAGATCATTCTAAAATCTCCTCAATGGCCCCCATATTGGACCAGTTCATATCCTCAAGACCTGTTTCTCTGGTTTTAATATTGTCCTCTTAGAGTACATTCCAAATTTGTGTCAAGATACTGTAAGAAACTAAGAACTTTAATTAGGATAAACAGTTCTGATCAGGATTTGAAATAAACAACCTCCAATTCAAGCAACAGCTTTATCTATTACGATGTTAGATTTGAAAGTGCAACAGCCAAGAAACTAGGTGAATCATTTCAATCAAATGGAATCACACAATTTGTGTGTTCATTCTTAAGTTGGATATCTTTACAGTAGTTTGTGCAAAAACATTGATATAACTGGCAGTTTATGGTTCTTCAGTAATAGCATGTCTAGGATTTCATTTTGGGAGCATGAAGAATCCTTTAATCGAAACTACACTTTACCTGTACATATTTTCAAACCATTGACAGTACTGATACTCTGCTGCCTCTCATTAAGTAATCATTTTACAGGTATATTTTGTCAAAAAGAATCACTTTTGCTCTTGTCATTCCAAATATTTGGATTGTAGAACCATGGCACACAACCCATGTACATATACATACACCCGTTTTTGGCCTGTTCTCCCTTCCCAAGGTAAAAAAATAAAACAGGATTGTGAGATGACCACGATTTCTACTTGCCCCTTATTTCAATGTCTGATCAGTCAACCAGTTCTCATAAGCTGTAATATGAACATTATGCCATTGGATGCCATCATTATCTCATACTTCATAATTTCCTACAACCACTAAAACAGTGGACACATAAAATTGTGATATGAAGTAACAATTTATGGCTCTGAAATTATACAATATGGTGCACAAAATGATCCAGTAATTGATCTATCAATAAAATTTTTATTTCAGTTACAATATCAGAAATTAACATACAGAAAGACCATTGCATGGAGATTTTTCCTGTGTGAATCAAGCATTCAATATGACCACCATTACATCTGCCAACTTCTTCAACATGAACTGTGATGCTGATTACTTGATGGCACATATCTTCAGTTATCTCGCTGTAGGCTTGATATTTTGTGCTCTCAATTCCATTACTGTTTGTGGCTTTTTCAGAAAAATCTTTTTCTTAAGGAATCCCAAAAGAAAACAGTCACAAGGGTTTAAATCAGGGGTATTCGGGGTCCAGTTCTGTCAGCATGTGAAACGATCAGGAAACTAGTTTCAGATGACATGCGAGTCAAAACTGTCATGTAGAAAGTTTAAAACAGCATTCATTGTGTGTGGCCTGGCTCCATCCTGCATGAACCACTGAGTTTGTAACGGCAAACCTGTAGCAAGAAGGTGAAGCACAAAAGTATCATGTAACATGCTTATATAGTGCTCACTGTTCATTGTCTCTTCAAAGAAAACTGGCCCTAGCAGGACATGACTTGTGTTGGCGACCCACACTGTAATTCTCGGTGCATTATGCACCTTCTCATGTATCACGCGTCGATTCTCTGACGTCCAAAACTGCACATTCTGTTTATTAACCACGCCATCCAAGCTGAAGTGTGCCTCATCAGAAAACCAAACATTGTTGAACGGTACCTCATTATTCTGAGCCCATTCAGCAAATCCGTCTTTGATGTTTGTTTTAAACTGTAAGTTTAGGCAACACTAACATTTTGTACGGATACAAATTGAAGTCACTTTTCAATAGTTGCAGAACCGACTGTCTGCATATCCCTAGTACTGTTGATTCACTGGGGTTTCTTTGCAGCGCCACTGTTCTCCGGTGAACGCACAGGTAAAGGTTAGGGACGTTTCCTTTCCAACACCGAACCATCATTATTAAACTGGTTATAAAGTTTATGAATTGTTTTGAATGAAGGCACCTATCGCGTTCGAAAATGGCACGAACCGCCTCTGTGTGACCACAACACTCTTTGTTTCGGTAAAGAACAACACTGTTTCTTTGCATTGTTCTAATGCGAAACTCCAAACGCCAACCATCTTTTTAACCTGGCGCATGAGCAGGAACAATGTGACACTAGCGCGCTCAGGAAGAGTAAGAACTAATCCCCATAATCAACTGTAGTGTTCACAATTCACTATTCACTAAGGACCTAAGGACATACTTCATTCTCATCGCTGTACCCTCAACTGCTGAATCCTCCTGGACTCAGAGTCAGTCACATTGCGACTGACGGTCAGTCAGTCAGTCAGTCAGTCGATCTTGGTGTCGAGCCCAATCTGGGGCTCCAAGCAGATTCGTCTTATATAGCCGTGGCAAGGACAACGCAGAAAACAAAGTTCTATTGTTGTGTAGCGCAGATCGCACATAAAACAAGTCACGTGATAGATATCTCGCCAGTCCATTAGCTCGCTGACTGTTGCCTAGCAACGAACTATAAACATTCCTCCTATTGTTGCATGCATGTTTGTCTAGCTGTTGCCTGGCAAATGCACTGACATGTCACAATATGTAGCACACATGTGATAAACATGACACGCATACACATTCTTTTCGGAAAGATTCATGAGATGAATGCCGTGTAGAGGCGGAAGGCTAATACTAAAATGAAAGAACTATCATATAGAGATACGAAGTGGACACAGGATAACATCCAACAGTGGACTGTTGTGACCAAAATGCTGAACATCAGATTGCATAAAAGGAAATTCTTTGATGATAGAGGATATTCCTTTCTGTAGGCCTAGTTAATTTAGCCAGTAGCCGCGAAGTAAAGGAAGAGGCACTGTATCCTCATGAATTGCATTTTCTACTTGAGTCATCTTTCATTTTGGACTCAGTGCAGTTCTTCTCACTTAATGAACCAGTCTGTGAACCTAGGTTCAATTCTCATACGAAATCGAAGACTATGAAATCCATTGGAAAGCATGTAGTTTATTTAAGCATGCTGTATCAAGTTCAGAAACTATGTAGAATCAAATCCGAAATCTTATGTTGCGTACGATAGAAGTGGAAGAGTTCATCGATCGAATGATTGATTGATTGATTGATTGATTCCTAGGTGATTTAACGGCAATGTTTCAGTTGCAGAAACTATAGCATAGAATGAGATGGAAGATGTCCACAAACGGTGACTAGCTAATGATTTGGAAGGAGGTGGCCATGGTCGATTTGAAGGATTCTCCCTTTTCCGGCCTATGCCTGGAGGCTGAAGAACGTGTCATAATTACCGGTAGTATATAATTAGTCCCTCCACCAACCTGCTCATTGAGTCGGTAGCAGTGAGTCGTGGTCCATTTCGACACACTTTACCCGATATCATGATGACGACGGTCGTACCACGACTTCCATTAACACACGGTGATTTGATCCATGAGTCAGACACCGCATGTTCGAATCTTGGTCGATTATTATGTTTCTCGCCAATACCCCTCAGACCCTCATTGCAACATAGAAAGTAACTATAACTATGCCACGGAGAGGGCAGCCCCACATAAATATATCATCACTTTCTCTGCTGTCTTTTTCAGCGTCTGGGATGGATTGGTCCTTCATTCAATTCTTCTACTGTTCAATTTAGTAACTGTTATCCTTCTCGAAGTTTAAGTTAGTAAAAGATAAAGTTGTTCCTGTGCTTAACTAATTAAGCACTACGCCATGAAGACGTATGGGGGAGTGGGTGTATAGATCCATATTCTCTTGACCTCGCCACTAGTTGAAGGTGAGTGGTTACCTTCACGCCACGGTCGCTTTACCCGCGGGGAAATAACCCTTGCTACTCATTGGTTGGGAGGCTCGGTGGGCCCCAGAACTAGTCTGAACGACGTGGAGGAAAGAAAAATCTTGACGCTACTGAGACTCGACATCCGACCCCTCGGTCATCCAGCCCGTAGCCAGTCACTAGTATACCGATTTAGCTAACCCGACTCCCGGTCAGTAAAGATCAGAACTGAGATGAAGATTGATTGGACTGTAGAATCGGATGTACTAGTATAGTGAGAACTTTTTCTCTCCACTATGATATACTTAGATGGTACTTTGCGTCTTATTTTAATGTGGATCCTACATCAGGAAAATGACCCCTATCAAAATTCGGTTTTTGAATCTGTCCATCACTTCTTCACGGCACAGTCTCATCCGTTGCCCATGGTAAACACTGATATAAAAACTCACTTTGCTTATCCAGTAGCAATCGGATAATGCAGTGTTTCTCAAACTGTGGGACGTGTTTGGTTGGACTGGTTGGATAGAACGTGCATTTAGCGAATAAGACCTTCCATTAATGATTAATATAATACTAAAATGCGCGTAACTGTAAAAATACACTCCTTAAGGAAGGCGAGATTTTATTTTTCTGTGGTCAGATTATGCTTTTTGACAGAATGGCCCTTGGGACACATGGTGCAGAGCCGAGAGACACCGACGTAATAGACCTCGCTTGTTGGGGCTAAAGAAATGCATCAAAGTTGAAGAAAAGTTCATAAATTAGGAACGCTGCCAACAGTGGCGATGCGGCGAAGAACTTCAGTCTGGTACAAACTTGGAAAGTTTTCTTGAAAATTTGATAGTTACTCAGCTGGTTAATGAATTATACAAATTATAATGGAACGAAAGTTCACTATCTGTTCATAGAAGCCCTTTATTTGATTCCCTCATGAGCCAGTTCAGTCTGGTTCACACGGTGACATTCTGTTTCTATACGTCCCATTTCAACACTGTCCTCCCATCTACACTTTTGTCTCCAAAAGGGTCTCTCTTTCGCTGAGGTGTTTGGATTGGCATTTCTCGTGCCCTCTTTCGTGTTGGGGCACGAGGTAGCGTAGGTTGTTGAGACAGTATACTACAAGACAGAAAATCGTGGGTTAGATTCCCGATCAGGTCACTGGATTTTCAATCGACCTAATCCCTCCAGCCACACTATGGCTCTGAGGTCAACTCGGCCTCTAACAGAAATGAGTATCAGGAATTTTCTCGGAGGTAAAGGGCGGCCGGCTCCTAAGGCTGACAACCTCACCGCCATCTGTGAGCCGATTCTGTAGAGAATGTGGGAGCCTCGACGTCTCACAGGCTTATGGGTCTCCACGGCCTGTTATAGGGATAGAATTACCTTTTTATACCTCTTTCGTGTTATTACACGTATATCCCACCCAGCTCATCCTTCTTAACTTAAGTACTCTAATAATGTTAACTAAAGAGTACAGATTGCCGGTCACGGTAGCCGAGCGGCCTAAGGCATGTAGTGTCTTCGCTCGCTTGGAAACCGGGAACGTGGGTTCGAATCCCACTCAGGGCATGGATGTTTAGTTTGTGTGTGTGTGTTTGTCTGTGTTTGTGTACAGATAGAGGCCTTGCGACGAGCTGCTCACCCGCCCAAGGAGTCCTACCGAATGTGTAAGATCTAGAAAACCGAAGTGAAAGGAGAAGTTCATGGCGGTAGGCCTAGGCCCACTGGCGCTGTAGTGCCAAGAAAAAAAAAAGGAGTACAGATTATGAAGGTCCTCATTGGGTACTAACTTAATGGAGCAGTCGTCCTTTCAAATAATTGCTATTAGACGGAGAAATTGCATATAACAGATTTTGAAGTTTCATCGCACCAATACACATATTTTTCTCCCCTCTTTCTCCCATTTTGGAGTATAGGGCTGATTCTCAGTTTCATGATCATTTTTACAGACTGTAGGACTCCTTGGACGGGTGATCAGCTCGTCGCAAGGCCTCTACCTAAATACAGGACAACACAAACACAGAATAAACGCATACACACACCAAACATTCATGCCTTATGTGGGATTCGAACCCACGATCCCGGCTTCCAAGCGAGCGAAGACAGTACATGCTTTAGACCGCTCGGCTGCCGTGACAAGCCAATACACACACACATATAGCCATCATTCATTAGATCCTGTGTTGGGCGCTGACAGTAAGAATTTTTTTTTTTTCCTTTGGCGCTATAGCCCCAGTTTGGGCCTTGGCCTACCTCCATGAAACTCTCCGTTTCACTTCGGTTTACTAGATCTTAGATATTGAGTACGACTCCTTGGGCGGGTGATCAGCTAGTCGCAAGACCCCTATCTGTCCATAAACACAGAAAGACGTACGTACACACACAAACACCAAACATACATGCCTTGAGTAGAATTCGAACCCACGATCCCGGCTTCCGAGCGAGCGAAGACAATGCATGCTTTAGACCGCTCGGTTACTGTGGCCGGAAGGGAAAAATGATTACTAGATGATATTTGTGTTTCCTTCCTCGATAATCAGCGCGCGGTCACAAGAACGTCATGTAGAATAAGGAAATGTTAAAAATAGAAGTGATGAGGGTTGGAATGTTGACAAAGCTTCACGAGACGTTACGTTAATTGTCTTAATTTCTCCGGGCTTGCGTAGTACTGTAACGAAACCGTGAAGCGAGGTGACCCATCCCGTGGGGTATGTCAGCAGACCTAAAGATATCCAGTTCCTGATATGCGGTATCTGTTCTCTGCGTGAAAAAAATGAATGAGGATTTTCCTCTGTTCCTATTATCCATACCGGAATAACCCAGTGCCATTTCCCCTCCTGAACTTGTCGCCCTTAGTTGTCAAGTAGCGTCTCATTCGCGGAAACACCGTCGTCACAACGAGAAATAAAGCGTGTAAAGGCGATGTCCTCCACTGCTAAAAATCACATTAGCCTTCACTCTTGCCTTGGCAATGAAGTAGCCAAGAAATACTGTAGACTATACAGCGGATGTTTACTTCGTGTTGCGGGTTCTTGTAAACGCATCCTGTATCCTACACAGAGAAGCGCTAATTTGTATTCATCCTGGGTTAGAAAGGCGCAGTCTTTATAAAAGTAAAGTAAAGCTATCCCTGTACCATGCCGTAAAGGCTCATAGGGTTTTGAGACGTTATGGGGCCCCACACTATCTAGACAATCGGCTCAAAGATGGCGGTAAGGTTGTCAGCCTTACGCGCCGGCCGCGCTTTACTCTGCAGTCTTTATACTGTTGAAAATAAGAATTTAAGATCCGTGACTTCGAGGTGATTTATACTGGACAAACCTCCATGCCACATTTCATACAAATGATTTCTCCCA